CCGGATCTCTGGGCTGTCTCGTGGGGTCAGGACAATGTTCCCTCTAATTCCTTCCATCCATGTGCGGAATACATTTTGCGCGCCCTGAGGCATGTGTGAATGTGCACCACCAGTAGGAACAAAAACCTAGCTGGGGGTGCTCTGCTAATCATCTGGGTGGCATCTGAATGTCTCCTGAGCAGCCGCACAAGCGCCCAGCTTAGAGGGAATAGTCTGGGATGCGGAGGAAGCCCCCTCTGCTGGGTTCTCTCGCATGGTTGGGGAAGAGGCGGAAGGGAGTCTGGGAAAAGCCCTGCAAATCCACAGATATCTGTGGGTGTCCCCACACGCGGATGTGGATGTGTGTATGTATGGCTCATTTGTGTGGATGTGGTTGCAAATGTTGGATCTATAACACTGCATATATTCTGGTCATCTGTGGATGACCCTTTTATACCCACAGGTCCTGCTTGGATACCGCTGCTAGGGATGTAAATATACAAAGTGAACTGGTTAAACGATTTAATTGTAATCAATGAACCGGTTAACTGTATTGCTGGGGTCTGGCCATCCTGCTGTGGGGGGGGCTCTGCCCTCTGTGTGCGGGTGGGGGACTGCTCTGGCCAGCCTGCTGGGGTTGCGCTGTGCTGTAGATGAGGAATTGCTCCAGTTGGCCAGCTGTGGTCACGCCACGCTGTGGACTGCTGTGGCCATCCACTTGGGGTCGCACTGTGGGCGAGGGACTGCTTCGGCCAGCCCACTGGGGTTATGTCACGCTACGGGTTGGGGACTGCTTTGTGTTGTGCTGCGGGACTGCTCCAGCCAGCCCACTAGGGTCAGGCCACGTCACAGGTGGGGGGCTGGCCCAGCCGGGCAGCTGGGGTCCTGCCGTGGGCAGGGGACCACTCTGGCCCACGGGTTCCTGTCAGCCGGGCCACAGCAGATGGGGGACTGCTTCTCTCCCCCCCCCCCCCCCCCCGTTAACCAGTTATCTGGTGAGCATGCTAGTGTGGCTAATGCTTACAGGTAACCTTTTACGTTCTTAATGGATGCGGATATCCGCAGCTCACTTTTGCAGATACAGATGCAGGTACAGAACTTTGTGTCTGTGCAGGGGTCTATTCCTTGGTTCTTTCGTGGAGTTGCGGGGGAAGTGGACTCCTGGATTCTCTCCCAGGGTTAGGGTCATGGGTTTACTGTGGTAACCCTGTATTAAAAAGGGTGTATGTCCTGTGAACTGCCCACACACCCCTGCTGCACCAAGGCCAAAATAGGGAATCACCCTCTTCCCTTCCCCTCTGCCCTTGGGCCAATTCTGGATGGGAGTCAGCGCCCCCCAGAGGGGAAGATCCTCATTCTCTGCTCTCCCCAAGCCAGCCCGCACCTAATGATGTGCCCTGTGTATTTTTGGGGGGGGGGCAGGGCCAAGCTAATGGAAGCTCAGTTCCCCTCTCACACCCTCCACACCCCCATTAACAGCCTCTTACTGCCCTGCACAGATGGCTGGTGACGTGCCCGACAAGAAGGAGCGGGACTTGTCACCCCCCAAGGAGGAGAGGAAACGTGCGAGCTCCCTGGACAGGGACCGTGACAGGAAGCGAGGGGCAGCCGATCAAGATCCCGCTCCCGTTCCAAGTCAGCTGAGAGGTAGCAGCCTCCAGGCCTAGGGGTGGGGGGCCGTGTGGTTGCGCCAGCATGTGGGGAGCAGACAAGCCTCAGGCTGTGTGTGGCTCTGACAGGCTGGTAACTGATCCCCCGGCTCTACCCTTGTAGGGAGCGGAGACAAAAAGAGCGTGAGCGGAATAAGAAGGATCGCGAGAGGGAGAAAGATGGGCACCGGCGGGACAAGGACAGGAAACGCTCCAGGTAAAACCTTGCACCCCCACCTCTGCCAGTGCGTACAGTGTTATGGGAGAGTTTCTGGGAATGCAACCACTTCTGGGGTGCAGCATGAGACATCCGCACTGCACTGGCACCCGTTTGTCAGGTTAAGACTGGAAATGAGCAGGGTCTGGCCGGGCTGGAGATTTCAGGGAGCAGAATGTCCTTGGCCAAGGTGTGATGTTGGGGTCTTGCCACCACCCTGTGGAGCCGATAACGATGGTGAGGGGCAGGGCCCTGGTTCCCCTTCTCCTCTAGGAGATGTCGGCTCCAGCAGGCAGCGCCTCCTGCCCAGTAGTCGCTGAGCCAGCAGCCCCTCTTCCTGCTGTATCTCGGCTTTGCCTGGGGTGGCTTGCTTGCTGAGAGCCCAGCCCGAGTGGCTCTGCGCCAGGAGGGAGCTGCCTGGTTCCAAGCACTTTCTGGATAAATGGGAGCCACAGAGCCCCACGTGTTCCTGGAGACCTTGCCACGATTGCCGAGTGGGACCAGGATCAGTGGGCGCGTGGCCCCAGGCCTGCTGCATGGGAGGCGTGAGAGGCGTTGAGCTCTGGCTGAGGGAGAATTCGCCCAGGAGCGTCTCATGTCTGCTTTTTCACTCCCTCAGAAGCTTGTCCCCGAGCCGTGGCAAAGACTCCAAATCGCGGAAGGAGCGAGACTCGCGGAGGGGGGAGGAAGAGGAGGATGCCGCCTTGAAGAAGGAGAAGGTGGGAAGGCAGGAAGATGGGCAGCTCTGGGCTGAGGGGCCATGGGAGCCATGTAGGGGTGGGCACGGCCAGTGTCAGTCTGCGCGTGCTCCAGGGAGCATGCAGAAGACACGGTGCCTGCTCCTGTGCCTTGTTGGGCCCTGGCGTTCAGCCTCCGCGTGCTCCGTGTGCGTCTTCTGGGTTCCCTGCCTGGGTCTCAGGTGCAGTAGCCCAGCCCCCCAGGAGCAGCTGGGGGTCTTCCCTTGAGCCTGCCTATTCCAGCCCAGCCCCCAAGCTGTTCTGCTACTCGTCTCTGCGGCTGCCTCAGCCAGGTCTCCCCAGAGCCCCCTAGGAAGGGGCCGCCCGTCTGTGGGTCGTGAGGGTTGTTCTCTGCGCACACAGCCGTAGAACTGAGACCCCTCCCCACCGCCTGTCCCATCGCAGCCTCCTGTCTGGCTCAGTCTGCTGGAGTCCAGGAGTGTCTTGGACGGGCACGGGGCAGGAACCCCCCCCCAGCTACCCCAAGCGCTTCGATGCTCCAGGGGGCCATGTGCTGCCTGTGCAGTTTGGGGCAGGTGGGCTGGAGCCGGGGGCAGGTGGGCTGGAGCCGGGGGCAGCCATCCTGGCTGAGGAGATGTTAACTCCTTGTGTTTCCAGGCCCAGCCTCTGTCTCTGGAGGAGCTGCTGGCCAAGAAGAAGGCTGAAGAGGAGGCCGAGGCCAAGGTAAGAATTTCGTCCCCATCCCCGCTGTAGGGGCATCTTCCCCTCCTCCATTGCTCTGGCAGAGCAGACATGGCCCCTTTTCCCCCGGGTCTGGAGGCGGTTCGGGGCTCCCCATGCAGAGTGAGCCGAAGGGTCCGCTCCAGGGCAGGCCTGGGCACTGCTCACTGCCCTCTCTGCCCCCCAGCCCAAGTTCCTGGCCAAGGCGGAGCGGGAAGCTGAGGCCCTGAAGCGGCGGCAGCAGGAGGTGGAGGAGCGGCAGAGGCTGCTGGAGGATGAGAGGAAAAAGAGGAAGCAGTTTCAGGATATGGGGAGGAAGATGCTGGGTAAGTGCCCCCCCCCCCCCCGCGCAATGCACCCTGGGCAGCCCTCCCGGGGAGCAGCTTGCAGGGCCCAGGCAGCCCTGTCCAGCTTGGGGGCGAAGGGGGTGGGGCTGGGAAGCCATGCCCTGTTCCCATCCACCCTGTGTCCCTCCCCCCAGAGGACCCCCAGGAGCGGGAGCGCAGGGAACGCCGGGAGCGCATGGAGCGAGAGACCAACGGCAACGAGGACGAGGAGGGGAGGCAGAAGATCCGTGAGGAGAAGGACAAGAGCAAGGAGCTGCATGCCATCAAGGTGCCCGCCATGCCAGGGGCCCCAAGGCTGCCCCCCACGCTCCCTGGGCAAGGGAGACGCTGGGGACCCAGGACCCCTGGGTTCTAGCCTGGCCTTGGGAGTAGTGATTACAGCAGGGGGTGGGGCTGGGACTCAGGACCCCGGGTTCTCTTCCCTTGACACCCTCTGTGACCTCAGACAAGTCCTTTTACCTGGCCTTGGTGGGACTGATCCTCTCTACTGGGGTGGTGTGGGGCGGGGGGGGGAGCTGGCAGCTGGGCCGCGAGTTG